AATTTGTTACCCAAGTGAAGATGTGAGGGATATTGCTTTTCTGATGTGAGGTGTCGTTTTTTTCATATACTTTTATCAGGTGATAAAAATGAGGTAAAGTGGCAACAGAGAGCTGAACACCCTCATCAGTGGAAGGGAACAACCTTAAACGCCCCTGACCAAGTGGAGGGTGTTGACTTCAGATTCAGACAGCCCCTGTGTCTAATATCCTGCCCTTAAATCTGACCTCTAAGGACCTGTACTGGGGTTCCAAATTTAACCCACAACTCTTGAACTTCCTGAGTCAGTACACTTGCAGTGCAGAGGTGTGGGGCTTTCCGAGGTAAAATGCTTGCTATTAAAAAAGAAAAAATCTCATTAGTCCTCAATCTGAGATGTGAAATTGATCACTAGACTTGCAGTTTAAAATGAAAACAACTAAAAGAAGTTGGTACCTGTTTTAAGTTTGATATATTAGATTTATAAGGATTGAATAGGAGGTTAGAAAAGAGGGTTGGGTTGTTAGCTCGGTCAGGCATTTGTAAAGCTTATATATATATATGTCATATAGATTTAAAAATATATATAATGTGCCTGAATAGTTTAAAATATTTAAGGGAATTTAATTTTTAGAAGGGGAAATATAGAATACTGGTTTAGAGTGGACTGTGGAAGCAGACCGTTAGGGGTTGGTGAACTATGGTCTGCCATCTGTTTAAAATGAAAAAAAAAAATTTTGTTGTTGTTCAGAGCATAAACTAATTTATGTATAATTTAGTGACATTCTTTGAGCAACCATTGTTTCTCCTTTCAGACTTGGTTTTCCTCCATTAACATAAACTCACTAGCCGCTAAAGTTCTTATCTAATCGAGTCATGGTTGGCAATTTGATGCCATCAAGATAATTCCCCAAGGACCATGATGCTCAAAGCAAAATTAAAAAGCAAACAAAGCGAAATGAATACTAGTTGAGCTAAATTGTTTGGTTTGTAAACTTCAGGGGATATTTTTGGCTCACGGTTTCAAGATGCTCTCAGGGTAATGAATCGTTTCCGGGCTTCATCCACCCTCCACGGCTCCAGGTCTAGAGTCCGTGAGAAATTTGAAAGTCTGTTCTGCATTTCCCCCTTTTTGATAAGGGATTTTTCTATGGAATCTTTGGTCAAAATGTTCAGCGTTGGTAGTACCGGAGACCATTACCAGCCACCATTATTATACAACTTTCTCTGGTCTGATGGCAAAGGAGAAAGCTATTCATGGGAGCAATTAGCCACATATTGCATATTCTTCTCCTGTTACTGACTCCCTGCTTCTGTTGTTCCAGGTGAATGGAGACCCAGTGCTGGGCTGTGGACAGCCATTCACAGGCTTTAAGACCGGGAACTGCTCAACAGAGGAGGAGGTTGAACAGAAGCACTAAACAGGTTATGAGGCCAGTTGACTGGGATGCCCATAAAACCACGACCTTAGGCTTCCAAATCAAGAAACCAGACCCCATGAGGGGTTTGGTTGTACATAAACAGCCCCAGCAGCTGCTCTTTGTGGGGTCAGGGGTCACTATTGTTAATGCTTCTATCACTCAACTTTCGCCAATTTAACTGTTTACAGAGTACAACTTCTTGACAGCAATTACAATAATTGACTGTGCAACTTTACCTTAATCAATTTGATTTTTCTTCCACCACTATTAACCCCTACTTTCCATTTCTGTTCCACCCCTGGCGACTGCTGATAAATATTCTCCCCCGCCCCCACATTAGCCTTTTGTCTTTTTATGCAAGTAAGGTCATACGATATTTATCCTTTTATGACGGATTTATTTCTCTCAGGATACTACCTTCCAAGACAGTCTGTAGTATTTTTAAGATTCTTCACCAACACCGCAGTTCAAATGCTGTCTTTCTTATTCATTGTCCAATTTTCACATCCATACAATGGCTTGGTTCAGGTGCACCTTACTCTTCAAAAGTAACATCCTTGCTCTTCAATGTTTTAAAAGGTCTTGTGCATGATATTTGCCTAATGTAATACGTCTTTTAATTTCTTGTCCACTGCTTCCATGAGCATTGACTGTGGATCCAAGTAAAAATGTTCACATGGTTTTTCTTTGCTTTATTGATGTGCTATATTACATTGATTGATTTTCGAATGTGAACCATCCCTACATTCCTAGAATAAATTCTATGATTTAGTCATGGTATATGACTTTTAAAATATGCTGTTGAATTTAAAAAAAAGGTATTTCTGCATCTATATTTAGGAGATACTGGCTTGTAGTTTTCTTGTAGTGTCTCTGCCTGGTTAGGGAATCAGGGTTATGCTTGCTTCATAGACTCCCGTAGGAAGTATTCTTTCCCTCTTTATCTGCAGGGAAAGTTTGAACATTTAAATACAGGTGTCAATCCTTCTCTAAGCATTGTGGAGAATTTCCCAGTGAATCCATCTGGTCCAAGGCTTCCTTTTGTTTGAAGGTTTTGATCACTGATTCAACCTCTTCACAAGTTTTGGGTCTAGTGAGACTTTTTAATCTCCTTTTGAATTGGCTCGGGTAGGTGGTGTGACTAAGAATTTATCCATTTCATCTAGGTTATCTAATTTGTTGCCAAACCATGACTCATGATATTCCGATATAGCTCTTTATTGCCACGGGGTCAGTTGCAACATCACCTCCTTCAAGTTTTTCTTCTTGGCATCTTTTCTGTTGTCAGTCTAGCTAAGGTTTGTAAAGTTTTTGATGTTTTCAAAGAACCAGCTTCTGATTTTATTGATTCTCTCTATTGTTTTTTTAAAATTTGTTCACGCTCTGATCTCTGTTCTTTCCTTGCTCTGCCATCTGTTTTTGTATTGTCTGCAAGCTAAAAATAGTTTTCATATTTTAAAATGGTGGGAAAAACCCCAATGTTACATATGAAAATTATATGAAATTGAAATTTAGCACACATAAATAAGTTTTTAGCGGAACCCAGCCATATTCACTTATTTACATATTATCTGTGGCTGCTTTCATGCTATATTGGTTGAGTTGAGTAGCTATGACACACACCATGCAGCTTGAAAGGCTTAAAATTTTTACTTTCTGACTCTTTATAGACAAGGTTTGTTAATCTTGACCAGGTCCAACTTCCAGCTTAATTATTATTTGAAAAGTGCTCAGAATAGTACCCAGTGCACTGTAAATGCATTATGTGTTTAAAAATCACTTGGGGGAATTTAATCTGTTGAACTTAAATGAACTATTACTTGAAAAAAGAAAGCAAAAGTAATTATATTTATTTCTTACGAGTTATGACTTTTATACATAGAATCAGGATTTACAGTTGAAACTGGTTAACAAAGTTTAGGGCTTTAAAAGGTGAACTTCAATAAATTGAATATTAAACACCCAAGTAACTCTATTAGTTCTCTGTGAACCTCAACTTCCCTCGTGGACTTGTGGGCCAAGTGCTGCGAAGAATTCTCTGGTTCATAAGCCAGGCTATCTAAGACTGGGAGGTAGTGTGTAATAAGTTATTATCTGGAGTTATTCCTGGATCAAATCCTGACATCTTTGTTATGAGATTTTTGGGCAAGTCCTATCTGTAAAATAGATAGCATCTATTTTATGAGCATATTGTGAGGATGAAACCTGCTAGCGGTCATAGGGGCAGTGCTGCCTTGGGATGGCAGTGAGATTTTGGTTGTGAGGCTTATGAGATGCTTAGTGCAGTGCCTGGATTTTTAGTAAGCACTCCATAATCACCATTATTATCATTGCCATTTTCTGGAGAGGGCACATAATGAGTTCCTGCTTCTAACAGAGCAGAAGGTCATATGTGTGGTGTGGTTTGAGTGGTACAAGGAAGCTCTCTTTGGTTATCTTGATATTTTGACATTCAACTCTAATATTCTTCTAGTTGAATGCTGTACCAAGCCTGTTGCTGCAGTGTGAATTCTGACTCATGGTGACCCCAGGTGTTAGAGTAGATTGCTCCATAGGGTTTTCTTGGCAGTAATCTTTCTGAAGCAGAGCACCAGGCTTTTCTTCTTTGGCACTGCAGGGGTAGACTGGAGCCAGCAATCTCTAGTACTCTTCAGAGGGTACCACTTCCTCCTTAGTGGATTTAGTAGTACTACGTATTTTTCTTAAGGAGCTCTGCTGGCTAGTGGGTTACTCATTGGGCTGATAACCACAAGGTTAGCAGTTCAAAACCACCTGCCTCTCCCATAAAGTATATAGTCTTGGAAACCCAGAGGCCATTCTGCATTGTTCTATAGGGTCACTATGAGTTGGAATAAACTTGGTGGTGGTACTGAGTGGTGTGTGTGTGTATTTATTAGAGGTATTTTTCTTACAAAGGCAGCCTGAGAGCAGTGGAGATGCAAGGGCCTGGATTAGTATACTCCAGTGGAGGGTGGGTAGTGGGCCTCTGAAAGTTGGTAAAAAGTCAAAGAAAAGGAGAAACTGTACACAGCGCTCAGGTTTGTCTCATTAACCTGTTCCCCTCGGGTGTTAGGGAAGCTCCACTTTCGTCTGGGTCACTACCCCTGGGCAGGCCTGGCCCAGGGTGCGGTCTGCCCTCTGCCTGCTTCCTCCATGCACCTGGGCAGGAATGGCACTTTTGTCTAGCCCGATCTACCCTCTTCCTGCTCACTAGCTGCCCCAAGCCCCTCTGGCCCTGTAATTTGACCCCAGGATCCAGTGGTCTTGGAGCCAGGTGAGAGACCAGAGTTTATTTCCCAGTGACCTTGAGGTTTGACAGATGAGTCAGTTCCTTGGCAGATGGTTGGGGCCTGAGGCTTAGGTTCACATTTCACATTAAAAGCATGTCTAGCAGCAGGTCTGATTTTTCCCAAGAGTGTGGAATAAGGTTACCAGGTTGACCTTGACCACTAGTGATGGCGGGGAATGACTCATTGCACTTGTACCTTGTATATTACCATCTTGAGGTTTCAGGACGCGTCCGACCCAATTTTAGTCTCTGCGACTTGTCATCGTTCGGTGCTATTTCCCTCTGGGAGCAGAGTGGCCAAGGGATTGGCTGAAGACCTGTGTCTCCATGGAGACTGTGACGCTATCCCCGGACCGGGAGTTTGGAAGGGGGGCCGACGGGAGAGGCTGAAGAAGGTCCCGGATTGACCAACTTCCTGGAGTCCCCGCATTAGGGTGATCCTCTTCCCCGCTTTCGAGGCTTGGGAAAACTGGCCGATTCCATTTTGGAGGGGGAAACTGAGGCCCGGAAAAGGCAGAGACTCTTTTGGGGTCCTAATGTGCCCCCAGGAAGAATAGGGGTAGCTGAACCTAGCAACCGAGGCCTTTTTTCCCCCTCAACGCCTGGGAAGTTCCCTCAGCTCCATTCTCCTTGGAGCCTTCCACCACACACACCTGTGAGTCCGCAGCCTTTCGAGCGCTTCCGGGACAGGTAGCCGAGGGAGTTTTCCTCTAAGGAGCACGTCCCCTTTAAGACTCTGGGCTCCTCCCCCGACGCTGCGTCGCCCCCTTACGGCCCCGCCCCCTCAAACCGCTTCCGCGGGCCGCGCGGCGGTCAAGGCCCCTTTAAGGCTGA